TATGATGCAAGAAGCAGCATGGCTGAAATATTTTTATTAATACTAATAATATTTTCTTTTTGCTTATACAGCACCTTTGATTGCGGAAAACAGAGTTGCAAAGGAAGCTGTAGAGACACTCTCAGGGTGAAATTACTTGCTCATGACTTCGTAGCCTTGCTGCTTTGCCTTCATTTGTACTGGGAATAGGGGTAAGGAGTGCACTTGCTGTTGTTCATCCTGGGGGTCCAAGTAGCGAATGATTCCTATACATATACATTCCACAGGTGAAAGCATGAAAAATGTGCAGAGAATGATAAACAAGCCTTCGTTCCTCTGTTGTAAAATCAAATCCTACTTAAGACAAAGTGGTCATGAGAGTTGGTGTTGTCACACTGTGGTTGACAGCTGCTGGCACAGTACTGGTGTGCTTGGCATTGTCCTAAATATCTATTTATATATTTAATCTCTTTGACATCTTTGTGAAATGGATATCATTACATTTGCTTTATGAAGAGGTGAGTAAAGTGCAATGATGTTAAACAGACCTTTCTACTTCCTCAGACCAGGCTATGTAATTCTCAATAAAAATTTCTGGGAGTTTTATCATGAAGATAATGGAACAGCATAGCTGACTGTGGGCACATACTACCAACAGTTACCTTTATTTGTTGGCACTTTATTGAATTCTCTTATATTAATTTTTGGTATATGTACTTTCTCTAGATTCCCAACTGGATTGCAATCTCCATGAGTAAGAGGATTTGGGTTTTGGTTTATAAAGCATTTATTATATTTTAAATAACCAGGATATATATTTTAACTAGAGCACTGGATACATCTTAGATTGAGTTGCATTAACATGTCATAGACAAGGAGGCTTAAACAATAGAAACTTGTTTCTCACATTGTTGGAGGCTGAGAAACACAAGATCCAACACTGATTGGCTGGAACTCTAGGGATGACCCTCTTTCTGAATGTAATGTTTTCCTGATGTGCCAAGGGAGAGAGGGAAGAAGGAGAAGTTAGGAAGAAAAGAAGGAAGAAGAAAGGGAGGGAGGAAGGATGAGGAAAAAAGAACAAAAGAAAGATGAATGGAGAGAGACAGAGACAGAGAGACAGACCCAGGGAACTAAACCCATCCATGAGGAATCAGTATCTTGACCTAATTACCTTTCACAGGCTGTATTTCCAGAGGCTGGCCCACCAGGAATGAGGGTTACAGCATATAAATGGGGGAAGGGTCAGTACATGGAAACTTGGTTTCTTATTGAGAAAAATCAGGATTTTTTTTTTTTTTTTTTTTTTTGGTTTTTCGAGACAGGGTTTCTCTGCGTAGCTTTGCGCCTTTCCTGGAGCTCACTTGGTAGCCCAGGCTGGCCTCGAACTCACAGAGATCCGCCTGGCTCTGCCTCCCGAGTGCTGGGATTAAAGGCGTGCGCCACCACCGCCCAGCTTTGAAAAATCAGGATTTTTTTAAATTGGGCATCCTGGTAAACCCAGAACATGTAGCCATAATTTACATTTTTCTTTCATGGGAAAACCCAAAGGAGAGTGAGTAATCTGCTGATATATTTAGGTGACTCTTCTAAGGTACATGCATTTTAATAGCACATTGGGGTTGGGGACTTAGTGCTCCATGTTTAAAATGACAGCATTATTACAGTTTACAAGGTACTCACAAGTAAACTAATCACCATCCAAAATATAAAATTTATTTATTTTTACTTAAAACTATATCTTTTAAGTTACATCTCTATAAAATGTTTATTTATTTTTGAGACAGGGCTCTAGGAAACCAAATAAGCAATCTAGGAGATTTAGGGCCCATGGAATGTAATATTTACCTAGATGATTGATTATTCTCAGCCCATTAATAGATGGAAAATACCTTCCTGATGGCCTATCATAGAAAGCCCAGCTCCCCAATGAACAGAACTAGTACAATCTCATTGTTGTTATTTTTTGCTTTTTGTATTTTTATCAGACGCGTCATAAAACAAAAGAACCTTAGTTTTAACCAAGGACTCACTTTACACTTACTTCAAGTGCTCTCCGATGCTCCTCTACCTATTTGCTTTACGTGGCCCAATAGACTTGGTAGCACATACGAATCTCCCAAGCAGCAGGTGGCAAATCATTCTGATGCCATCAATTCTAGGACAGGAACCTTCCAATGGCAAGTCATCCCCATTTACACTCTTTCTGTTCCTTTTCACTTCAAAAGGTATCTGTCCACATAGGCAGCTAAGTGTGGCAACTGAGGGGTGCAGGGAGGAACATGAGACTCGAACACCTGGCCTGAAAGAGTGGTCTCCAGGCTTGACTTTGGACAGCCAATTGGCTTCCCAGTTTCCTTTCAGTGTCAATAATCTAAGACTGACGAAGATGTTAAATATGCAAATTCCTGAGGACTATGCAGCAGTTTATGCGAGGGTACTTATTAGATAAAGCGCTGTCATTGTTCTGTCCCAGAAGACACATCTTTCAAAGTCAAGGTGGTGAAGGCAGAGTACAGGACCTGCCTCACTGTCCAGTAGAAACATAGTTCCAGCCACAGATGTGAGACATGTATGGAATGTAAGATTTTCTGATAAAGAAATACAGTAAATTAACTTGAAAATATATTTTATTTAATTATATATCCTAAATTGCATTATTCTAGTAACCAACACACAATTATTACTTTATAATTTGTTATCTTTTGTTTATTATTAGCAAAGAAGAGATACACAGGGATATGTACTTTGCACCTTTCAGTCTGAAGTATCTCCATTTCAAGTGCCAGCTCAGTAGCTTATCGCCACCATATTGGACAATGAAGAGCTAAGGCATGCATCACATAGTACCTTGTGAAACAGGGTTTCAGCTTAAACCCTCATACCACACAAAAGTAAGTGTGGGTGGACAAATAAATTAAAAGTAGCACCTGTTACTTGGATAAAGGAAATGAAATTTATAGAGCAGAAATCAAATTCAGGACCACCACCACTGCCATCACCATCCTGAACACCTGTACAGAATCTTTTAACATTTAGGAAGCAGAAATCTCTCATCTCCAGGCCATTTAGAATGAAGTCCATTGAAATTAACTCCATGGTTCAGTAAAGCAATAGCTGTTATAGGTGCAGTGTTTGATTGGGGTGTAGAAGATAGGATTTGGATCCCAGTTCTGTTGTCAATTGATGAGCTGGAGGGTAAAGGTTTGTGGTCTTCATATTCTTTGCTTAAACAATAAAAGGTTTAGAACACACATTTTCAACTGCAATATTTTTAATTTATACTTATTATGTTATTTATATTTGTGATTTATATAAAGGGAATATATTAATTCTGGTGTTTATTTTGACAACTTTGCATAAATTTCATACCCTTGTGACTAGCCACAAAATTAAGGTATAGAAATGTTTCTATTTCTCCAGCATGTTGTCTTCTTTTCCTTCCTGACCATCTTCCACTGATGGACACTTGACTTAAGATAATTTTTTATCTATCTATCTATCTATCTATCTATCTATCTATCTATCTATCTATCTATCTATCTATCTATCTATCTATTGTCTATCTGTCTCTCTCTCTTTCTGTGTGTGTGTGTGTGTGTGTATGTGTGTGTGTCTGTGTGTGTGTGTGCGGTGGTGTGTCAGTGTGTGTGTGTGTGTGTGTGTGTGTGTGTGTGTGTGTGTGTGTGTCTGCCACAGCACACTTGTGGAGGTAAGAGAACTACTATTGGGAGAGTCCATCTCCTTCTCCCATGTCAGTTTTTTGGCTCGAACTCAGATCCTCAGGCTTGGCAGCAAGTTCTCTCACCTACTGAGCCCTGTCTAAGGTCCTTGTTTCTGGCGAATGAAGCAATTTCCGGGAATAGCTGGAGTCAGAGTTGAAGTAGAATGGGAGGGTTTTCTGGGTCCTCCACAAGAAAGCATATTGTTAACTTAAGAGGAACTTGTTTTCCACAGAAGCTGTGTCACTGGGTGGCAGAGGTGGATGAGAACACTGGCTGCGCTACATCCCTCTCAAGACTCGACATTCTTAAACTTTTCAATTTTAATCAATTTAGTGTATCTGATTTTATCTTGTCATAGTTTCAGTTTGTATAATAAAAATGAGAACAAATCCAGGGTAGCTCAATGACATGCTTTGTTATATGTGCTTATGAGCTATTTGTGTATCATATTTTAGGAATATGATATACAAATATATTTTTCCAAATATTTTCCCCTTTTAGAAACTGGGTTTTATTTTGTGAGTAGAGTTACAACAAATGTATGTGCATGTGTTTAAATAAGTCCTATGTTTTTTCCCTTAATAACACCTTTAAGAGGAAAAAAGTTTAATTGGAGGTCATTGTATAATCCTTTGGAATTCATGTTTGTGTCTTAATCTAAGGAGTCTTTGCCTTCTTGAAGATTATGAAATCTTTATCATGTTTTTGTCTAGATATGTTGTAACTTCACATTTTTTCCTTTAGATATATTATCCATGTTGAGTTAATTTTGTGAGCACTTTGTGCTGGATGACACTCTGTCACTGAGACAATAATACCTGAAAAAAAATCAACTTAAAAAAGAATTTGTGATTTGTGCTCATGATCCAGTCTGTTGCCACATATTTCCATCTTTCTTGGCCTGAGATGGCAATGGGATTCATATCAAAGTGTTAGAGAGTTCAAGAGGGGGCTATGCTATTCACTTCATGGCACATTGAGAATTAATTCTTCAATTCTTCAATATATCCTCCTAGGGGGAGCTTTGAATTCTAATCACAATATAGAGTTAAGGAAGGATTGAGATTAGTTTATTTAAAATGGATATTTAACTGTTGCATTGTTTTATTTTTAAATTTTTCCCTCATTGAAATATCTAAGCAACTCATCTATCTATCATCTATCTATCATCTATCTATCTATCTATCTATCTATCTATCTATCTATCTATCTATCTATCTATCATTTATCTGCCATCTCCTGTGAAATGTTTACATTATTATTATAATTATTATTATATGTCTTTTGTAGAATGTCATCCCTGAGAATAACAGCTATCATCATCTTCTTCATCGGAATAGCTATGGTTAATTGAAAGAACAACCATTCCCCACATATCAGATTTGGTGATCCTTGCTCTTTCCTCAAGAGATGAGAGGTGATCAAGTATATAGGCCAAGGTTAACTGAAGTGGAACTCCATCTAAGCAGCTATGGTGAAGTCTTCACCCACGCTGGGTCCACTATGGCTCTTTGGGATCAACCATGCTCCTGTAAGTAGCCAACCTCTCACCCATGCTCTAATTAAGCCCAATAAACTCATTAGTTCCCCCCAAGTTGGGTTTTGGTAAAATCATACTTTGGCAGTTGGTACTCTGTAAGGAAGGGCTAGACACTTGTTTGTAGTTCTCTGAGGAAAGAGGTTGTGCAGCAATGCCCTTTGTTTAACTAACTCAAAAATGACAGATTTGAACATGAATCCCTTCTCTGAATGGAGGATCCTCCTATGAATATAATGATGAGCAATTAGGAGAACAGTCACATGACCATATGAGGATAGTCTGAAAGCCTGACAGACTAGCTCACACTTAACTTAGGTGTTAGCTGTTACAGGACTGTGCCTTCTGTCTGTTTTAGAGTAAGGCAACTCCCAATGACATCTCCAGGAAAAGCAGGATTCAGGGTTCTGGATCTTCTGGAGTATCTAGCTCATGTGGCCACCATGCCAATTTGGAAAACCTTTACTCCTGGATTTATTTGGATCTACACTGCCACCTGCTATGCTTTTACACAATTAAACTAGATTTACAGACAAAAATATTCAAAAGTCATTTGTATGAACTTGTGAGGGGTGCAGTTCTTCTACCTTTAGTAATCCTTGAAACTAACTTCCCTAGTGGCTCTAGACTCTGTGGTGAAGATATTTCTTCTTTTGGAATTTAGTTGGCAGGGAAAATACTTAATGATCCTGATCAGCATCTTCCTCAATGTCTGTGTTTATTTTGTGAGGACAGTGGGCACCTGCATTGCCCTAAACCAGGGGAGATTTTACTTCCTGTAGGGATATTTATTTCATTTTTGTCATCTCTCATTCCCTTTCAGCACCCCATCCTTGACTTCAGAATAGTGAGAAGACTAGGCTTGCAAATCCGCTTTTGGCAGAATAAGATATCTTCATCTCTAGGTCACGTTTCAGGCTTTTGTTCAGTCACAAGTTCTGTTTGGATTTATCCTCCGTGCGTCTACTTGAATATTCAAAAAGTCATCAGCTAGTCTAATTTGTTTTTTTTTTAGCCATGTAAAAGACTGATTTGCTTTGACAGGTGGATCAGAAACAGAATTGGAGCTATTTTATCTGGACCTAATTAAACAACCTTCATTACCGGCAGATATATGTTTGTGACTTAAAATTAGCATGATTGGAATTAAAACTCAAAATATAAGGCATTGAATTCAGATATGGCTGGTTTAAAAATAAATTCCATACATTTTAAATGCAGCAAGTCTGGATTTTAAATATTCTATAGTGACAAATCCCATTTAAAGGTAGGTGTGTGTGTGTGTGTGTGTGTGTGTGTGTGTGTGTGTGTGTGTGTGTGTTTGTGTTTACATGCAAACCTAGCTATGGCCATAGAGAGTAGCAGAGAGAAGGATCTGCATCTTCTGAACTGTTCGAGAACAGCTTTCTGAATGATAAAACTTTAATGAATTTTTTTAAATCAAATTTCTCCTCCCTTTACCCATAAGCACTGAGTCTATCTTTGAGGATTCTATAAAGCTTTCTTTGGCTTCAAAGGTTACATTCTCTAATCAAATTATTTCTATTCATTCTTGTCCAGTCTCTGTGGTTTTGTCATTTCTTCTTATCACATGCATCCTGACTGTATGCAAAATAGATGGATAGAGATGGAAGGGAATCTGCTTAAAATGTCCTCTGATGCAGCATGAAAAAAACCAAAACAGTATTTTTTTAATGGCATTTTACTTCCTTAACCTTTTGAAAAATATTTTTAAAGACTTTCAATGTATCTTTACATAAATATTTCCACATACATGAAATGCTGTATGTAAGAGTGCATTCTAGATAATGATTCAAGTTAATAATTATAAAATTATTATAAAAGATAAATACATTTTTCTTAGACTTTTGAAGGTTGTCATGGACTGAGATTCCTGAACCAGATTTTACCTTATGAGGAAAACTAAAAGGTTGAATAAAACATATTGACATTTCTGTTCAACATTAAGGCAGCAGGAATTAGGGTGGATTCCTTTTCCTAACAAACATTAATATGAGATTCCTGGTGTGATGAGAACTGGATATCAAGAATCTAATCCCTCCCCCTGCCTTTGTGCTTCAAAATCTCTCTCCAAATTATTAAAATTCCAGGTCTTTTGTGATGCTTCTTGATGCATCCTTGTGATATTAACCACTTTAAAATGCAAGTAAGAGGCTGTTCTTAGTGTTTACAGCCTCTTTGTAAACCAATCACATTTTATAAAATATGAAATAAAGCATTTGTGTTTACCACATCCATTTAACTAGGAGAGTTTCCAGATGGTCCTTAAGTTGTATTTTCTGAGAATCAAAACAACAGTTCCTGCAGGAGTTTGTTCTTTTTTGTTGCATTTGCTCAGCCCTTCCTGTCCCTGATGATGTCTTTTCAGCCATTGCTCCTTCTCCTCGTCTCTGTCCAGGACTTCTTTCCTGATTTGAAAGTAGTACCCACAGAATCTAGCTTGGCAACAGGCTTTCTTTTATGTACCACTCAGAGTTAATTTTACCATGCACATTGTCACTTCTTTGGAGCCTTCTGGAATCGCAGCCTTGACACATCACAACTCTAGGTGGTTCGAATTTGATTTGGGAGGACTGATATCAGCTAGTTAGCCAAAGGGTGAAGTTTAAATTTTTGATTTTTATCTTCCTCATTCAACAACTGTGATGCTTCATTCAGAGTGTCTCCCATTCTTTCAGTTTATTTTTTTTTCTCCTACTGCAGTTGTATGAAGGGAATGTCTTTGCGCAGGCCTTTTGCTGCTGTATATTTGATCCCCGAATCTCGAAATAACTTCTAGAGAAGTGCTTATGTAAGTGATAAGTTGGACTAAACTTCTTACCACTTTGTTGGCCTCATTTGAGAATGTGGATTCCAATTCTAATAGCATCTGCTCAGAGACAAGTGAGAAGTGAAATGAAAAGTACCTTTAACATTTTTGTAACTATATTTGGCATGGGGAAAACACCCACCAGATGCATTCATTCAACAAATATTTATGATGCACTCATACCAAGGCAAGCATTATGCTAGATTCTGGAAGAGCAGCCATGAACAAGTTCTCCACCTTCAACTTCTGTTCTAATAGGTAGAAGCAAGCAATAGGTATTAACAGGAAAGTGTATTTTAAGGGCGATGGTGAAATATAAGGTAGGGAAGGAGGATAAGGACAGTAGCCAGAAGAAGTCCCACCTGTGATAGGACTGAAGGAGAGGGAGAAGGCACATGAGCAAATACCTGAAGGTGAGGAGGATCAAGGGGTGTGGCCTAGAAAAGAATAAATATAAAAGCCTTGAAAAAGCAGACTCAGAAGAAATAGATGAAGAGAAGGCCAAAGAGAGCATATGAGTTGCCATTATAACTCATGTGTTTGTGTGTGTGTGTGTTTGAGAATTTCATAAATGTACTTTGATTGTATTCATCCCCAACTCTCCCCCCTGCTTTCTTACAGATCTGTGTCACCTGTATGTCCCCCCAACTTTGTATTTTCTCTCCTTTTTATTAAATAACCCATCAACTCCAACTTGAGCTTCCCATATACTACAAGTGTGGGGTCATCCACTGAGAGTATGGTTAACCTACCAGGAAATATACCCTTAAAGAAAATTGACTCTCTCTCTCCCCATAAAGCCATCAACTGTCCATATAACCTTCGTTATGTGGGGTAGAACTTATGAACCCTTCCCACTCCACATTAGAAAGCTGTCTGGTATCAGGCGGTGGTGGTGCAAGCCTTTAATCCCGTACTCAGGAGGCAGAGGCAGGTGGATCTCTATGAGTTCGAGGTCAGCTTGGTCTTCAGAGTGAGTCCCAGGACAGCTAGGATTGTTACACAGAGAAACCCTGTTTCAAAAAACTTAAAAAAAAAAAAAAAGGTTTATCTTTGCCAGGTGGTGGTGGTACACGCCTTTAATCCCAGCACTCAGGAAGCAGAGGCAGATGGATCTTTGTGAGTTCGAGGCCAGCCTGGGGTACAGAGTGAGTTCCAGGAAGGGTGCAAAGCTACACAGAGAAACCCTATCTCAAAAAACCAAAAA